GTTAGTCAATAACGGAATTAAATAAGTCAAATAAGGAGAACAGACTTTTGAGTACATATATTTTGTATATGAAGCGAATGGAATAGAGAAAAGAGAAACGACGCGGAGTTGAGATGGCTAGTAAGCCAACTCCCATTTAACCAAGCGTTAATCAATAGTTATGGATACACAAAGTAAGTCACAGACATGTGATGAGTAATGGGATAAGAAGTGTACACACATCTATGCTCATATAAAAACAGTTAAGATTGCTATGTGAATAAATAACAAGGTCAGAATGTGACTCAAGTAGAATGAATAGAATGGGCTGTCCGAAAGCTAGAATAAGGTATATGGGTTTAACAAAATAATTGACACTACAAATTTGTCTAACAAGGTGATTAGGAACGTTCATCGCTAACAATCACTTGTATTAGATCCTCGGACATGATCTGTTTTATTTTTCCTTTTTGTTTAAAGATTTTCTCTTTACAACTAGAATAATATTAAGTCTTATTTAAACAGTGTATGATAAGTGAAATATGTTGAGTTGGCTTCCGGAGAACTTCAACGGAGCCTCCAGAGGCCCAAAAGGAGCCGAGGGGTCCTAGCCAATCAGAGTATGATGGAACGCTCGAGAATTCCAGCGTGGCGTGCTACTATTGGTCGGTGGCATAATATGTCGTTAACGGATTGGCTGAAGAATGATGTTGATTTAACAGACGCCAACATCTATAAATACCATGATTTTCTGTACAAAAATGAACCTTGGGATATAGTATTTTCTCTCATACTTGTGTCTTCTCTCTGGTGTTCAAGTCGCTGTGTAGTTCTAGACTGAGGGTTACCAGAATAGCTTAGGAAAACGAATATAGCGTTCGATCAACAAGACTTAACAAAATAATTTCAATCAACTTATTCAGTTATTATTATCATCATTGTTATTTTTACTACTCATAACTTTGAAATTTTAAACCGTTATCTCAATTGACTAATGTGAAAACTTATCAAAACTCATAATTCACTAGATAAGCTTAAAAACTATTATTTACGTCAACCAAGTCGCAGTAGTTCCATTTTCTTCATTAAATATAAACTCTCCAACATAGAATTTACATATATACTTAAGACTATACTGAGACAACGTAAGAATCTAGTCTCCAAGTTATGATAAATTAGGCTTTTTAGTTTCTAAATTATATTGTGTTCATGATTTCATTTAATTATATTCTTATTTAAAACAAAAAGGTGTAACGGGGTTAAAATCATCATATATGTTGTTAAAAGATTTTGTTTCTTTTCTATTGCAGGACAACCAAAAATAAATGCTTTAGAAGAAGAAGAAGAGCAAGCCCTGAATGCACTAAACTTACAGGATGACTCATAAAACCGTTTTGTAAACTAGCTCTCTTTTCTGTACATAAATAGCGAGTTTCATTTTCAAATAAACGACTGATGGTCTCCATTCCGTGTTCTCTCTGTGGTGTGGAGTGCTCAATTAACATTGTGTGTGTTGTGGCTTTAGGTCTTCCCGCTTTCCAGTGACTGCTGATTACACATTTTACAAAGGTACAGAATCTTTATTAATCAACATAACCTTTATACAACAGTCACATTGTTATGATTTTCACAGAAATGTTTTTTATAAAAAAATCTTTAATATTTATTTCTTTAATCAATTAGAAAACAATCGATAGAAAAGTAAACAATAAAGAAGAGAGGAAGTTTAATTTGATTATCGTATAAAATTTAGCTCATTTCCAAAATTAAGTTAATATATATATATATATATATATATATATATATATATATATATATACAGAGAGAGGGGGGAGAAAGGGAGGGGGTAGGAAAAGAGAGAGCATTATTAAGATTCGAACTTAATTATTAACCACCCCTTTTAGTATTATTGAATAATAGAGTATAATTGATATTTTATATCATAAAAACAATTTAATATTGTAACTATCGAGTTTATTGATTTTTTAAAATCGATTTAACACCTTTATATTCAGTTGTCTACGCATAATTTTGAAAAAAATGTTTCATAAAATCTTTAGATTCCAATTAAATTTATTAATTTATTTAGTATGTATTGTTTTAATGTTTGGTGTATTCAATGTACAAGGTAAGTTGATAACATTAATTTTGTATATTCAGTTGCAAAGTACATAACTGTTCTCTTTTTCTGAATGATGAGAAGTATAAGTTTACCATATTTTTTGTTGCCATTATAAGACTTATGTGTATTTCTGAGATTTTTGATTAGGAAAAATGAAAGAATTCAGCAAAGAAAAATTTTCTTTTCGACGAAATCATTTATTTAAGCTATACATTCATATTTATAGTTCTATAGACTATTAGTCTAAATTCTCATTATTCCTTAACCCTAATTCCTTTTAGTAGTATGTTTTGGGTTCTGTTTTTCCTTATTTTAATCTGACTATTATTGATTTTTTTAAATTATTGTTTTGTAATTTTTTGACTCTAATCATTTATTATTATTCGATGCTGGCTTAGTGGTCTAGAGGTTAAGCGCTTGCGCGCGAGACCGATAGGCCTGATCGTGGATGCTCACTGCTGAAGAGCCCCATACTAGGACGAAACGGCGGTTCAGTGATTCCAGGTTTTCTATGGTGATCTAAATTCAATTGACTCATGCTCTGAATTATTGAAATTGTTATTATTACCGTTAAACAAATTTGCTTATTATTCAGTTTATATTATTATGACCTTAATATTTGTCGTTTTTCTTCATATCTAAAGGGGTTTTGTGAAAAATTTTAGTGATTTTATAGTTAAATTCATGAGTCATAGAAAACGTGGAATCACTAGATGGCCGTTTCGTACTAATATGGGACTCCTCAGCAGTGCACATCTTCGTATCTGTCAATTGGACAATTATCTGACCCATAAATTCTTTTCTTGCTTATCCCTTGATTAGTATATAACCTCATTTGATAACAAGAGTTTTGAATCAATTTATGATGCAAATATTTCTGTTCAACTATAGGCATATATTTTCCATATAACTATAAATACGAATGTACAATTTAAGTTAGTGATTTCGTCGAAAAGAAATTTTTTTCGTTGAATTCTCTTACTTTTATTCAATGACACTATGGGTTATTTTTAATGTTTGAAATTATCTCTGATCCTTCTGATCTTTCTGTAACTTGTTGATATATCCAATGTTTCACTCTGGAATATAACTTTAACACTTAAAGTTGAGATAGATTACTTTGTATAAAGAATCAGATATATTTATTCATTTCTTATTTCTATTTTTTCGTCAGTAAATGGCAACATCTATCTTATCTTGATATTTTGAAATAATGATAACGAACACTGTAGCATAAAATGAATTCTTATTGTTACGTACTACGATCTGTCGACCCATTAACATACAGGAGAGAACGTGTCTCAAACTAGGCTATGGCCTTAACATGGTAGGCTTACTAGCTTGATATGGTGGCTAGAAATGAGTGAGTTCGAATTGAGACTACCGTCATGGGTAGAGAGACTAAAACTATCACCTGCTTAATTGATAAGCGATAGAGAGAAAAACGAGTCAACTAGAACGAATACCAGTTATCTCACAGGTTTTTTGTATCAAAAATTTTTTCATCTCGTTCTCTTCAATGAAATGATTAGTTTCAAAATGATGATTACGTAAATTTCTGATATATTTGATCAGATGTTCCTTGAGAATTAAAATCACTTGTAGAAATATTAAAAACCAATGAAGACTGTACGCTAATTTATTGTTTGTTAAACCTGTTCGAAAAAAATGCATGTGCAACTAATTAAAACAGAGCAGACACACAATTCTTATTTCTTAACTTTGTCACTAAACACTTTCATGCTTAAGTTGCTATAACTAGAACGATTTTAATGTATAATGATTTATATCGGAAAGGGGTTTTTGGGGATATTTTAGTAATTTAATAGTTGAGATCATGAGTCAATTGAAGTTAGACTACCATGAGAAACCTGGAAGCACTAGATGGTTGTTTCGTCATTCATTTTCGTAAATTAGTTGGAGTTAGACATTAACACCGTTGGATGCCAACCGGCTCAGGGGTCTAAAGATTAAGCGTTCGTGCGCAAGACAGACAGGTCGTGGATTCGAATCCCGCGAATCGGGATCGTGAGGGCTCACTGCTGAGGAGTCGCACAATAGGACAAACCAGCCGTCCAATGCTTTCATGTTTCTCATAGTAGTCTAACTTCAATTGACTTATGATCTCAACTATTAAATTAGTATAAAGACTTGTTAGAGAATAATATTAATTTCTATAGAAAAATTTATTACAATAATGGATCAGATGAAAAATGTGTATTATAGAAATGAACTAGAAGATAATATGAAAGTAGTTTAGATAAAGATTTATGCAATTTAAAGTCTAGAGAGTTTGGTTTACATGTTAAGCAATTCATATCTCTTCAAATTTCAGGTTAGACTATATTTGCAACAAATGTGTTTTTAGTGCATTGTCAATGTTAAACTAGGTAGTCAATTTTACTAGATCCATTCATTTAATGTGTTGAACTGAAAAGAAGAGAATACTTCAAAATAAACCAATATTAGTTCGTTGAATAGTGTATCTTAGAAAATGACTGAATGATTCAAAATCCAAGACGTTTTTTATGAAAATCCCATTAGGATATTAATGTTTGACTAGTTGGAATAATGTAAGCTTTTTCATGATATGTACATAATGGAATATCATATCATTTTTCAACAGGGAATTTCATTATTTCTTCTTTATTTCTCTAGGTATAAGATTACTGAAGACACGTGGAGATGACAGTGAGTGTGTCATTCTATGTGGTTCATTAAATATCTAATGAAAGTTATAGCAAATGTTATAATTCACTTGTATATCATTATGTTTATATAATGATGAAGTCAATTTCATACTATATAATTAGAAGTTCAAAAACTTTGTTAATGAAAGACAACGTCTACACTACTACTTTCATGAAGTATTCTTTAAACTGTTCATACAATTACAGGGATGAAATTAAAATCAAATTTATTTGGTATATTTAGTAATATAGATAAGTCAAAGTATATAAAATGCTACACTAGTCTACCAACTTTCCATGGTAAAAGATTATCTAACATTTAAGATTTGCCAAAAAATTGTATGAATTGAGGTTAAATATAGCATACAGTATGCATAGTAAAATCTTGCAGTCTATGTGTTATGTCCTTAGCTTATACGATTATCGCGAAATACGATTGCCAATTTATATACACTGACTTATATGACCAAACTAACAATGCATACATCAGTACAGTTAGCCTAGAGTTCTTTTTAGTTCTTTTTCACTTAGCTCTGCCAGTTAGGTCCAGAATGCCAATCCCAAACTGCGATACGAATCATATATTTCAAGCATACTGGGTTTATGCAAAAATAAATCAAACCATATTACACCATAAAATAAGAAATAACAACTGTACAAGATCAAACTAAAATTGGCTATAATTGTGAGAAACTGTGACTAATAGATTGATAACACCTTGAGAATAGCAAATTACGTAACAATACCAAATAAGTTAAATCAAAGCTTATAATGAAAGGGATATGAATATACATATAATATAGTTACTTAATAGTCACGCAATAAGAATATTATTGTTCGGATATAACACTATATGTAAACTTAAGCTTGACCGAATCATTCTATTCATGTCAGATGAATATCGTAGGAAGTTTTGGAATTTCACTTACTTTGATCTAAGATCTCTAAGATCTAGCTACATTGATTCTTCAATTAGGCTGTCTGCAAAAAATATATTGCGAAAACCTTTGAGGAATTAACTAATGCTTTATGGGACCTAGATATACAATGAATAGTGGTTTTTAGTAGAAATGAGCTATTCTAAGGTCATAATAATAAGTTGTTTGACTAAAAACAAACTCACCAAGTATGTAAAATCAGCATATGCATTTGGTTCTTTTATTGCACTCATCGCCTAATGGGGACATCTCCACTGATTGACAGACAGAAATTCTTTATCCATAATAATTACTTGAAAATGTAACTAGAAATTATCCACAGCTATGTGATTTGTTGATTGATCAGTATTAATATAGACAATTAAGGTTTTAAAAAGATAATCTGTTAGATCCCGACTAGAGTTATGAATGGTACCTTTTGGGAACTATTTAAGGACTAATACTATACGTATATTTTATTATATAATTGTTAAGTAACTAAACTATTCATATTCGTGTTCCTCTTATTATAAGTATTATTTTGACCTATGAGCTATTATTCTATGATTTACCATTCTTGAATTCTGCCCAATCTATTAATTAGTCTCCCATATTCATAGCCACTTTTGACTAGATCTTGTATAGATGTCGTTTTCTATTTTGCGGTACGATGTGGTCTGCTTGGTTTGTATATAAACCCAGTATGTTTGAAATACATGATTCATATCGCAGAGGCTGAGACTGATGTACTGGACTTAACATACAATCTTAGGCTGGAAAAAGAACAGATAATTCACTGTTAACATGACCACAAGTTATGACATAATCCATGACTGAAATTATTACAGGTAATCATAAAATGTTTATTTACGCTTATATTATCTTTTGAAACAAAATATATATGTATTTCGATTTGCAAAGATTTTTAAACGTTTACTTAGATTTCAACTGACTGATTGATTGATTCTCAATATTATCTAATACGTTTTTTCTTGAAAGTTCTTCATATTTAAATGTAAATAAAACTGAATTCCTAGTATAGTGTGAATCGTTCATGCTCAAAACCTAAGGTCTCAGATTCCAGTCTAACGTTTAGGACTGTGTGTGTCTGTTTAAAGGAACCTCATACTGTGACGAAACTGTCGCCTTGTGCCACCAGGTTTTAAATCAGTTTATGATCTCAATGAAAAACTAGATTTATTTGAAATCATTATATAGTAAACAATAATGTTGAAATAGATTTTGATCGTTAATGATCTAAAATATTCATTTTCATTCATTAATTTTAACAAAAAGATAATTATGGCAACACTTTTAGTTAAGGACGAACCAATCACGTATAAAATAACAGGTCTCAGATTTTTGGCGCGAAATTCACACATCCATTAGGATAAATAAAGTTTTTGCATAATTCCTCATAATTCAGATTCCTCACATTGGTTTATAACACTCATTTGGTCCTAGTTAATAATTGGACACCCTCAAAGTTAGTTTGGCGTCGCTCGAAGGTCGTTCATAAATTATGGTCTCACTATAATTATTACCAAGTAGTTTAAACATTCTGAATTAATAAATATTTCTGTTGGTCAATATACTTAGCAAACAGTCCTAGCATGAAAAAAACATTTATTATTTCTTTTTAATTATATTCCACTTTCTTATTGAGATTAATGTTAAACCGAAAGGTCCTGAGTTCGAATCTTGTGAGCATGATCGCGCAAGCTCACTTCTGAGGAGTCTTATACTAGAACGAAACGGCCATCCAATGCTTCCAGGTTTTCAATGGCGGTCTAAGATCAATTGATTTATGATCTCAATAAAAAAATTAACAACTTTCACAACCTCATACTGATATATCATTTTTTATTGATTCCAGATAATGAAATTGAAGATGATTTTGAAAAAATTATTGATATGATAGACAAGGAAAAATTTGGTCCTTCAGATGAAACAGGTATTTAAAGTCATAATAACTCATGTGTGAGTACTAATATTATTCAATACTTATCAGCATTTAATTTATGGGGCTATATTATAGTGTGTGCTACTGATGTCGACAGATATAAGTAGTATGTATCATGAATTGAAAGTGAAATGTTTCGAGGCACAAGGCTAAGACGATTGAGGAAAAGAAAACAAGAACAAAGAATGATTAGTATGGAAATGAAAGAACGATGAAGTCTGAGTCGATTGATCAACATTTTGCAAATGAAATATTTACTTAATAGTTCTCAGATTTTACTAAGACATTCTGTAATTTATGTGTTAAAATACATTCGATTGTCCCTACATGTTCACTACGATGCAACTATGACATAATAAATGAAAATTGGTTGCCTGTTCAAACATTTAATTCACTTATACTCCAATTGGTTATTTTAATAAAATAATTATGAATCTCAATTGTATTTACTTTAGCAATATCGTGAAAGTCATGAAATGTGTTACTATGTTTAAAAATTGAAAAGTTCAAACTTGAACATTACATTTATTGGTATAGTTTCCACAACATTTCCCCCTTTTAAAAAATACGGGAAATTTCTTGCATTGAATAATTGATGAAGGGCAAATAGTTATGTAAATGAACTGATTGTCAACTCTGGTCAATGAAGATGAGTGTAAGATATTAATTATTAAAGAAAAACATATTTCGAATCATCACAGTTCAAAATGTACGTTAATCAGAAATCTATTATGATCCTGGACAATAAATGTCAATAATTCCTCCATGTAACATAATTTTTCATGGTGAATAAAGTTACTTTGTAAGCCTTGTTTAGGAATGTGAAGTAATTTTAATTGGGATCATGAATCGATCAATGTTAGGCCACTATTGAAAATCTGTGAGCATCGGACGGTTGTTTCATTTTAGTATGGGACTCCTTATCAGTGTGCTCCCACGATCCCACAAGCAGGACTCGAAACCAGGTTATTCGATCTCGTGCGAGGATGTTTAACCTCCCGACTAATGAGCCGGTATCAAACGGTGTTATTGTTTAACTTCAACCAATCCACGATATTACACGACGATTTCAACAATCTCCACAACCTTATATGGATGAAATAATTTATCAGTTTTTAAGTTTGGGTGAATTTAGTTTTACAAAATCAGCTCTTCACATTTTATAGGTCGATAGTTGACAGAAAGAGACAACTGGTTGGATCCCAAGGTGTGGAAAAATATTTTTTTAAAGTCTAATGCCTAAATGATCGCTAAATTTGTTGACCCCTATTGTTTGGACTTAATCTATAAATGCATAACTAGTTTCAAGGAGAAAAAAGAACAATTTTCTTGTTTATTTCAGATCCTCCAGGTTGGGAATCGGATACCAGATATGAAAAAGAAATACGCATTGGTAAAGTGAAGAAAGGAGGAAAATTGGGACCAGGTAAATTTTAAATTGTTGTATTATCAAAATGAGTCTATTTGTAACCATATCTCATGTAGCTAAAATCATAATTACTACAATTACTGATATAATACAGGAGATAATTATACTGTCTACCTACATCTAAAGTATCTGAATGAAAAATTGTTGAAATTAGTACATTTCGAACAGGTAATCCAATAGTGATTAGTCAAGTGCTGTGTTTCATATTCAATGAAGTTTTAAATGTCAGCATTTCACCTAACAGTTAGGAAAAAAACATTTACAAGTTAGATTAAAGTCCTTCAAACACTAATTCTTTAAATGCTATAATGAATTCCACTCCTTCAACAATAAAATACAGAAATGTCTGAAGACAAAATGAACTACAAGCCAACATCAGCAAATAGTCTCCTTAACTCGTTAATATGTTATCATTTACCTCAATTGTAACACACGAAAAAATATGAATGTCAATAGTTAATTGTCTTATATGTTCTTTCTTTATACGATACAACTATACCATAAACTGAGAATCTCTATGCTTTTTCATATGAGTCTTAAAGTCAGTATATAGTGATAATGGACAGTCGTGAAAAAAATCTCCAGTTAGCACGACATTAGCTGATAGTTCATGGGCTTTCTTTATTTCAATAACTGTTTTTATAGATCTAAACTTCTTAGTTAATTAAAAACATTGTGATTTCAATGAATTTCATTTGGTGTCATTATCATGAAATATGATCGTACTGTTTCTTTATTTCAAAAAAGGTAAACGTATAGAGCGTGTAATATTAAAGAAGAAGAAACCTTTCGGTAAAAATGATTCTAGACCAGGTGATATTTTTATATTGTTCGTAGTGTTTTGTTTAAATCTATGACTGAAACACTAAATATTTATGTATTGGAATAGCTTGCTTATAAAACGATGACAGATAGTATTTTAGTTAAGATTTATGTAGGAGATAAAATCTCAATTGATCGGTCACTGGGTAGTGGTAAATGTCATGCATGTTAGGTCCTTCTTAGTGCAGATTGAATCCTATCGACAAAGTTGCGATGTGGACACTCGTCTAGGTGAATCGACATTGCGTGCATTATGTTGAGATCAGATGGTGATTGGAGATAGTCAACAGGAAACCCTAGATCAAAGTTTCGAGCTACATGACACTCGTCAGCAAGGTATACCTGTAATCTTGAAGGAACTGATGTTCCCTGATGGATTCGACCACGTGTCACCCAGCTTCACAGTCAGAGACCTTACCACTGGGCTAACCTCAATGCTAGCAGAACGGAAATTTGAGAATAAATAAATACAGAATGTCTTCGTAAAATCTGAGAACCATGCAGCAAATACTTCATTTACGAAATGTCCATCAACCATCGGAGATTTTATTTTTCCTTTCCATAACTATCACTCTCTGTTCCCGTTCTCCACTATTCGATCATTTCAACTTTTTACTGCAAAGATTTCCATTTTTGATTGATGTTACATACTACTTATATCTGTCTACATAAGCAGCACACACCATAGTACTTCCTGAGAAGGTAGTACACTGTTTATATTTAAAATTTTGTACAGTTAACGCTTAAACAAACCTGAGTTTACAATCAATATCATTTTTTATAAAACACTATATTTACTGAATCTAAATCAATCCTATGGTAGTGAACAAATACTCAGGTGGGGATAACCAATTTATCGTTAAAAGCAAAATCACACAGTGATTTAGTAAAATGCGAAAATCACATCTCCGATACATCGTTTGCACATATTTTTTGAATCGTCTCTTATGAGCTTCCTTGTCTCTTCATTCATGTCGTTACCTTGATCGCTTTCAATTTCCTTCTCTTTTATCTCTATTTTGATCTTCTCAACCTTCTGCTCGTAGATATTCCACTTCTTACTAGTATTATATGCTACTTATATATGAAAACATAAGTAGCATACATTACACTAATACTTGTATATAGTTCTTATATTCTTCATTAATATACAATAGTTATGGAATTTGTAATTGTAGTGCCTAATAATGATGCTTGTGTAAGCAACGGTTTTGTGTGACCATTTTTTTATTTTCTGCTGTTAATAGACTGGGAATAGATTTTCAGTTCGAAACCATTTAGTTATACATTTAAATAACTTGGTTTTAAAATCATAAACATTTCTCCTTATGTACATACGCTCGCATACATATGTTTATATAGTCAACACAGCAAGATATGATGGAATTCGTTAAAAACTGAGTCTATGTTACAGCAGCTATTATACAACCAATTTCGATTGTGGTTAATTTTGGTTAATCCCGTTTATTAACTTAACAGACAATGTTATTTGAGCAGTAACAATCCGCATAAGTCCTTGTACCATTATGATCACTAGAGCACATGACAAACTAGCTAAAATGTCGATTGTTTAAATATCACTTAATGATTCATCCTCCATGTATTTATGTGCTCAAATCCTAATAATAATCCTTGCTTTGCCTTGCTGCGACCTTATGCGATTTGACTATAAATTTGCCTATGTAATTGTTTGCACATACTTATTTGCCTTTCCCCTTCGAATTCGCTCGGTGTGCTTATAGCTTTGTGATCTGCACTTTCGGCTAATAAACTGTAGTTGCTGCTTCTCATTGCCTTCTGATTTAAAACACCATTGAGATTTATATTATAACTATTATCGAGGTGATCGATTAACGAAGCAAAACCACTACAATGTAAAATATACACTGTCTTTTTAGTAACAATAATTTAGATAATATTAAACATCTGTTCAAGTTGGCTGTGATATTTTTCACTTGAAATACAATGAATAACTATTTTTTAACTACATGTATATCAGGTTTCTCAGATTGGGAATATACAGAGGAAGATGAGAGAGAAATATTCGTCAAGGAATAATCAACTATAAGAGATTCCATGTAAGTATTGTTAAAATATAATATAAAGTTAGTGAACTAACAAAATCAATTTTTTTTTTACGAACCAGGTCTTATTATTATATTCTACAATGCATAGTGTTGAATTGATGATTTTTTGACGAGACTATGATTTATGGACTAAGCAATCACGTATAAGATAACACGTCTCGGATTTTCGGCGCGAATTTCACTCATCCATTTGGTCAAATTGCGTTTTGACATTATACTTGATGTCATTTCGTGATGAAAACCTCACCTCTGATTCCAAACCTTAACCATCAACTGTAAATCATAATTCGGATTCCTTACACTGGTTTATAACACACAATTGGTCTTAGTTATTAGGCGGACATTCTCAAGGTTAGCTTGGCGTCTCTCAAAGATCGTCCATAAATTATAGTCTCACCGATTTTTTTAGAAGAACTATAAAAGTGTATAGAAGAAAATTCATATCTACTACATGTTGAAATGTGCCATCTTGAGACATGCCTAGGTTTCGATGAGTTATTGTCACAAGATTTATAACTAAGTATTTCGATTGGTTTTTCTCAAAAAGGATCCTGACCATTTAACTTAGTAGTAAATTATGTTAGTGTTGAATGTTTAGAGTCATTAAAATTTACATAACTCAGCATTTATTATAATGTAATAAGTGCATCTACTTAATGTATACTAGACATAATCATTATTTTTATACTTTCAAATTCATTTACATACGGCAGTTTAGATTTATCAGCTTATATAATTCACTTTATTATAAAATTGTATAAACCGTGTTTAGGTTGAACTGCAAGATAGTATGTTTGTATTCTACATGCACAAAAACTATGGTATGAGATAGTAGTATTGTGGTATGAGCTACATATATCCACATAAGTAGTATATAACGATAGTTAGGAATCAAATGTATTTCAATAGAAGATCGAAAAGGATAAAAACGGGAAAGGGAAAGTAATTGGTATGAAAGTGCAGGAACAATGAGATCTAAGACGATGGACTGATATTTACGAAAGAACGAGTTGGAAACAATTGATTGATATTTTGAAATAATGTATTTACTGTATGGCTTTCAGATTTTAGTAAGATGTTCTGTAATTTCGTGTCCGAATGCATTCGAATGTCCTCATTTGTGTTCTTGTTCACTACAGTATCAGCAAGTGTAAGGATCTTCATTTCGATGATCTACATTTTAAAAAGATTTTATTAGAGAATCGATTTTACGAAGTGATTATCCTTAGAGAATGAAGTTACCTGCATGTTCACTAATTACTAGATAATATCGTTCAAAGACATGAAATCTAAGGTTATATTAGTGTGGTATTATTAGTGTGCAACACTTTATATGTGTATTTGAAAGCTAACTTCTATTTGTCTATTTATAGTGTATATTTAAAACAAGGGTGACTCTTCTCATAAGTCATAATTGAACATCCAGCACTATTTCTACCGATAAAATCTAGAAAGAATAAGAAGAAAGATTCTAGAAGAATAGTATGAATTCATTTTACTTCGTTAGTTCTCATCAGCTGCTTACAACTTGTGATATTTAAAAATCATAATTACATAATTGGTTTAAATTACTGAACATGTTCAATAACTCAATGAAAGGTTGACAAGAACCCCTTTCATGTTACCGCCAACTGTATTTATAAATTTACGTGTACCTGCCAAAGCAGCTACATTGGTTGAACAGAAAGGAGAGCATATCTAAGACTTTTCTAAATATATTCTAAAAAGACTTGTTTCTGTGTCTTCAATATAACTTCCAAACAAATCCTTTCATATAAGTTCATTTTATTTCGTAGGTTCTCGTCAGCTGCTTACAACCTGTGATATTTAAAAATCATAATTACATAATGGGTTTAAATTGCTAACTGAATATTGTAAATATATATACCTAATGTGAAAGAATATTCTACAACATTAATTGTGACAACAGTTCAAAAGTGGGTTAGAAACAATCGATTACATAATGAATAACATTGAAGGAATGTAGTGAGTAGAGTTCAGTTGAAAGATTATTAATTTGAAAGACGGTTGGAAAAAAAAAATAAAATAGAGTCAATGATGTAATAAATGCAAAAGAGAAAAAATAAAAAATATAAAATGAAATTTTTATGGTGTAGTGAAGGAATATTTGTCACCAGGGCAAGGAAAGATTAACCACCGCCTCCTTTTGAATACATAGGTCAGGTTTTTGACACCTGATGGCAAACTATTGATATAATTTGTAAGAATGATGATCTCCTACCTTTACCAGCCCCAAAATTCAAAAAACTACTACTAATATGTACAACGGATGTTCAGTTCCAATTTAACAACACCATATATCGCCAAGTCGATGGCGTAGCAATGGGTAGTCCACTCGGTCCAATTATGGCAGATATTTTTATGGGGTATCTTGAAAACACGATACTTAAACAGGCAATTAATGAAACAACCGAATACTCCAGATATGTGGACGATACATTTATTATCTGTAATAATAAACAACATGCAATCCGCCTGCTCAAACTCTTCAATAACGCTCATACTAACATACATTTTACTATGGAGCACGAACAGAACGACATGTTCCACTTTCTTGATGTTGCCATAAAACGCAGGAGAGACGGGACAGTTCAACGCTCAATTTATAGAAAAAGTAATTGGAATGGCCTCTACCTAAATTTCAATAGTTTTTGTCCAATTAGTTACAAGAAGGCGTTGGTTAAAACACTATTTTACAGGGCAGAAAAGATATGTACCACCGACAAACTGGAAGAAGAATTAATGAACGTAGAAAAATGTCTAAAAGAAAACTTTTATCCACAAAAGTTTATTGACAAATATAAAAGGCCCAAAGAAAAGAAGACGGAAATAACTATGGTCAATAAAAAACCAGTATATATAAATCTTAACTTTAAAGGTGATGACGTCGCACAAATTATCAACAAGAGACTGAATACAGCGATAAC